GCCCCAGTCAAGCTCTCTCTGTGCTCTTGTGATGACCTAGTCTTCCTGGGCCCCAGTCAAGCTCTCTGTGCACTTGTGATGACCTAGTCTTGCTGGGCCCCAGTCAAGCTCTCTGTGCACTTGTGATGACCTAGTCTTGCTGGGCCCCAGTCAAGCTCTCTGTGCTCTTGTGATGACCCAGTCTTCCTAGGCCCCAGTCAAGCTCTCTGTTTGGAGGCTACAGGGTGCTAGCACCCAGCCCTGCATTTTCCTCCCACCCACTCCTTCCCCAGGCCCTCCCTTTGGGGAGTGTGTCAGGGGATGGGGATATAATTGATGATCATTGTTGTTAAGTGCCTTCAAGTTGGTCCCAACTGATAGCAACCCTGTATAGTGTTTCCAGATAGTGACTGGTGAGTTTGAACATCCAACCTTGTGGTTCATACAGACCCTGGGATCCAGTGCTGTATCCTAATTGATAGTAGTAGCCCACAAGGGTGCTTCCTGCAGTGATGTTGGCTCCAGAATGGTTTAGAACAGTTCTCAAAAATTCTGATAACGGAAAATCTTTCTTCCTTTTTTTTTTCTATTGGAAAGGTGAAAGAGACAATCCTGAGCATCCCGGGAAATTCACAGTTTGATGTTCCAGTCCTTTCACATGAGAACATAGTCCTCTGCCAATATCATCCCTAGTCCTGAATTTAAGTGACAGTCTGGGAGAGATTAAAGTGAGATTTATCTTTGAGTGACCAGAGTTATTTTTGTTTTCCTCAGCCCGGATGAGTGTAATTAATGCTAAGACACTGGTGGGAATAAGGCTTTTATTATTATACGAGAGTGAGGATGGCTTACACTGACCTTTCTTCTGCTGGAGTTTCAGTGTTGTAGTATGTGCTGCTTGTACTGGAAAGAATTTATAATCACAGGCTGTCAAAGACGGCCATTGTTCTCAGTGCGCTGAACATGTGGGTCAGCCACAAGTGCTTTCAGCTCCCTCAGCGCCAAGAGCTGGCCGAGAGCAGAGAGCATGCCTGGATTCTTCTGAGGCATCAGGAAAAGCATTTTGCATATTTTTTCATTGCTTTTTTTTTTTTTTTTAATTTTTTTGCCTCAGAAAGACAGCTTCCTTTCAGAGCAGGAATTTCCCTTCAAGGTAGCAGGAGGAGATGGAAGCACGTTGCTCCAGGATTTTACAGAACTAATTCTGCTGCACAAACCAATACAGCGTGCATTTACCAGATAACACAGACAGGAGCAGTTGTGCAGCTCAACTAGGGGTCCGTTCCCAGTACAGACATGCAGTTATGGATTCCAAAAGACGGGTCAAGGTTAAGGTTTTAGTTTTTCATTTGTGTTTCTCATGTGTCGTTGAATCCAAATGTTGTCATTGTTTATTAATAATCCCTCTGCTTTTAAAAATTTGTACATTGTTGGGTGTCAGTTGGATATTTTCTTTGGAGATGGCATGTGTGATTTTCTCATGGGGAGCTATGGCTTGTAGATGATTATCAATCCTCTAACTGGCAGCCGTAACTTTTCCATACAGATGTGATATGCAGGATTGGAGGGGAACCACAGTACCTGATGCTATGTAGGCCCTACATCTATTGCAGTATTGTCTAATCCTTTCGTTTTATTTTTGGGCAGGAGACTGAAGATACAGAGAGTCCTAAGCGTAGCATCCGAGACAGTGGCTACATCGACTGCTGGGATTCCGAGCGCAGCGACTCCCTCTCCCCTCCGCGGCATGGCAGAGATGATTCCTTCGACAGCCTAGATTCCTTTGGCTCCCGTTCCCGGCAGACACCTTCCCCAGATGTAGTCCTCAGGGGAAGCAGTGATGGTAGGTCAGAGTCTTAATAAACTCCACATCTTAGAACGAAGCATTAACCAGATTAACTCCGGTAAACTGGACTCCATGTCAGCCTTGCTGGAACCCGGGAACTTTAGAATCTGGTTGAAGAAACATTTTGTTTTGTTTTTTTAGTGTTGTTTTGATGGCCTTTAGAATTTCGGTTGGCTTTGCCAGCAGTTTGTTTGCTCATTGCCTCAGTGAGTATATCTTCTGTTGGAAAATGTGTTACATCATTCCTCCCTTGGTCTCAGTGAATCCAAACCCTGTGCAGACTGTTAACTCATAAACTATGTCAAAAGTTTGTCTACTCTGGGTATGAGAAGGGGAAATGCTAAAGTGGGAACCGTAATGTGTGAGTGAAAATGAGTCTACTTCCAGCAAACTGGAAACATAGTCCAAACGCATATGAATGTTCTAAAGCCTAGGGTTGTGAGATGTTCATTGGCAAGGTTCTTGGTACTCTATTTGATCCTGAGGGTACCTGATGGTTTGCAGGTGGCCATTAATGTGCAGTACACCACCCAGAATGCCTGGGTTTGTTCTGGGGTTGAGTTTGATTTAAATCCAGCTGATTTTCTATCACCTGGAAGGAATGATCATTTGTCTTTATGAAAATGTATGGTCATATAAACTGATATAAATTTAAGGCATATTTTTTAGATGCTTATATTACTTGTCTTGAACCCCTGAGTAATTTGAGGAAGGGAAAACGACTTGACTATATGTATAAACTTGCAGAAAAATACTCTATATGTATAAAGTTGCCAGTGGGGAACTTTTATATGTTTCTATTTTCTCACATCTTACTGGTGATGCTAATATTTCTAGAGACTCAAGCTTACTCTTAGAAATAAAAACTGTTTTCTAGCTGAATGATCCTTTTTAGTTGTAACAGTACATGTTACTAGTCAAACCCCTGGATTGTTGTGTATTCAGCGTGTCCAGTGCTGAGTACTTGAACACACAGTATTTCATTTAGTCCTACCACAGAGCAATGGGACACTCCTTCTTAGTCTTCTTTACCTTAGAGAACGTAAATCACTCTCCCAACATTTTTAATTGATAAAGATCGCCACCAATAAGTGAAATACCATTGTTAGAGTCAAGAAATGTGAGTCAAACTTATTTTACTCACACTTCTTTCTCTTGGCTTAATAGATTTCTGTTGCTGCTGTTTTTATAGAATGGCTGAACTAATGCTTTCTTTGGAACTTAAAACTTTCCAACAAATAGATTAGCCTCGGGGAACCACATAGTATGTGACCCCTAAAGAATTCCAAGGGCCATTGTAAGCAGCTTGAAAAACATTTCTAAAATTTCATGACCTCTTAAATGCCACCCACACAGTCTTAGAAGGCACAATGCTATATCCATGATCTAACTGGTTTTTAACATAATCAGAAACTAGATTTACTTTTGCAAAATGTACCTTAACTAAATTATAATGAAACCTGTGAGAGCCAGAACTATACAGGACAGCTATGCTTTCCAGGTCTTGCAAGGTTTCCACCTTGGATAATGGGCAGTCTAACTATGCTTCTATTCCCTTTATTAGTGGAAAATGTTTTTATTTTTCTTCCCTGACAAGTTTTGCCTTACACAGATTCCTGCTTTTATGTGTTTCAATGTATTTAGTCCATACTATTTTTATTGCTTAAAAAATGTATTTCCTTTACCCTGGGTTTTTTCTTTTCTTTTCTAACTTCATCACTGGTCATGTGGGTCCTTGATTTCTTCTGTCACCAGCTTTGATGGACTCAGAGTTTATAATGAGTTACAGCTTGAAGGAATTTAAGATGATGATAACTAATATTGTACTGATATATACTGAGGTGCAATTGTGTTTGTAGCAATTAAGATTGGTAAGAGAATCTTTTTCTAAATGGTTTCATCATCTAAAGAATAATGTTAAGTTGAATTCCACAAAACACAACCTATGAAATGTTATCTTTCACATCTCACCAATCAGCCTGATACCTGAAGACTCATGTTCTTGTAAACTAATCAAGACTTAATGAGGTTTTTAAAGAAAAGCAACACATTTTTATCTGCCTGAAAAAAAAGAAAAAGTAGAATCTCAGTCAAATTGATGTTGGATTTCAGAAGAGTGTATGGCATGTTTTTACAAGTGATGAAAATCAAAAAGATTGCCAGTCATAATCAGCACTTCCATATTTGGAAGAACACTTTTTTATGTCTTGAAAATTGATTTCTTAAGAGTCACAATCAATTAGAGAAGGTCTTGCCATGAAATTCTCCAAACTCGTTATCAAATCAATATGGAGATCTTTTATTTTCTTATTATTGGAGCTGACTTGACCGATCTAATAATGAAAAACCAGGGGCTACATCAAAGTGCCTTGATTCTGTGGGCTGGACACAAGAGCTACCTGGCCAGGGCTTTTGTGATGCTGTGGTTCATCTCAATTGGTCCAGCCAATCTGCCTTACTAAATAGTAGAAACCTTCTCTCACCTTCACAAGTATCCCTTCAAGACCACACAGGAGTAACTTTATGGGTTTCACTTAAGAAGAAACTTAAGAAAGGAACTTAAACTTCCTTTCATTATGAATATTTTTTACAAATATGGTAGACTGAGTTAGATTAACAATCTTATCTTTTATATAAAAGATGAATTAAGGAACCGTAGGAAGAAATGAGAGAAATTCAAGTGCTGGAAAGGAATTTAAAAAGCCAAGAGTTGGTGTGAGTATGGCAAAGAAACCTTTCAAGAAAGAAAGACACCTGGTTACTAGAAGAGATAAACGTAGCCCCAGGAAAAGAAGGCTCAGACTTTGATAAAATAACACCATCTTTTATGCTATGTTGCATTGTCCTAACTTTGGGTATAAATAGAGAAACCGCCCTAGTATATTTTCACATTCGCAAGATGAAGTCAAACTTTTTTAAGTTCTCAGTCTTAGATGAACAGAAATCTAACATTTACAAAGGCTATAGGTACCAGCCATTTCCTAGGTGTCTTTGCCTGTTCATTTAATCATCACAACAACCTACGAGAACAGTATCGTCATCTCCATTTCCCATGTGGACCCCAGGTTATACAGAGTTTAGTTTAGTTTGCCTGGGTCACATAGCTAGTAGGTTTTTGTTAAATGCCCTCGAGTTGGTTCCAACTCAGAGCCACCCTGCATAGGATTTCTGAGGAGCAGCTGGTGGGCTTAAACTACCAACCTTTGGTTTAGCAGTCCAGTACTTAGCTGACAGGGCCAGACCAGGACTCCCCACACTAGGTGGTGGTGGTTGTTATTAAGTGCCTTTGAGTTAGTGTGGACTCATAGTGACCCTGTATATGGTTTCTGAAGCTATTAATCTTTGTGGGAATATAAAGCTTCATCTTCCTTTCAAGGAGTGTCTGGTGAGCTCAAACTGTTGATCATGTGGTTTGAAGTCCAGTGCTTATCCTACAGAGCTAGGTGGTGGTGTTGTGGTCATGTGCTTGTTGAATTGGTTCTGACACGTGGTGGTGGTTATGTGCTGTGGAGTTGGTTCTGACTCATAGCAACCCTGTACTGAGCTTCCGAGGCTGTAAATCTTTACGGGAGCAGAAAGCCTCATCTTTCTCCCGTGGAACAGCTGGTAGTTTCGAACTGCTGACCTTGAGGTTTGCAGCCCAACTCGTAACTACTATGCTACCAGAGCTCCTTAGCGACCCTTAATAGGGTTTCTGAGGAGTGGCTGGTGAATTTGAATCGCCAACCTTGTGGTGTGGTTCAAACCTACCTTGTAGTCCAGTGCTTTATCCCATAGTGCCAAGTGGAGCTGAAATTAGACCTTGGCCTATAAAACCATAAAGCTACAGTTCTTTCAACTGAGCTACTTTACCTTGGGGCGTTGGCAAATTGCCATTTCTTAAAATGTCTAAAACATTCAACAGAGGGTAATCTATAGTTTGATACTTACAGCGTATTATAGTAATATATTCTAAGTACTGCAAAGAAATAATGTTTATAGATTTGTAAGACATTACGATTGAAGATTTTGAGACTACTCTAATCCATGACGTCATTGTAGAGCAAAGAATCATTTTGTATTTATTTATTTTAAAAATGCAATATTTCCCCCAAATCAGGGTGATTTAAGCACAGGACATTTTTATAAGGAAAAAAACATTTCATGTAGAAAGAAATTCAAGGCCGAGAGCCTGCTGAAGAGTTGAAGTCTCAGAGCTGTTACCAGCCATGGAACAGGGGTTCCTTCTGGGTCACTTTCTGCCTTTCTAAAACCATAGCAAATGGGGAAATATAGGCTGAGAGCTTCTCAAATGGGAAAGTAAACTAATATCAGTATTTGTTTATAAAAAGCAATTCACAGGGGGGCTAATCATGTTATTATAACACTGAGTTAGATTCACCAGTTAAGTTAGATAGGTCTTGGTGGGAAGGGAGCTAAGTTATGAATCAAGTACTAACAAGTAATGAAATGGTCAAAACTTCAAGAAGAAGGACTGTAAGCCAGTGCTGTGAATAATTCATACATTGAATATTTCATCTGCCACAATGAATGACTTGTTTATGGACTAGGCTTTTTAACTCTTACAGTATTTCAAAAGGCGTGCTATCATTTCATCTCTAGCTTTCATTCAAAGTAGGGCAAATGACTTCATTCCCATGTTACAGAAAGAAAGGCCAAGCCTAGAAGCTCTGCCTCATTACTGACAGATCCAGAATGTCTGTGACAGGAAGAGTAGCTAGCGTTCTCTGTGTCAGTCATCCCAACTGTATTATAGTATTTGACCCTCTAATAGCCTTATGAAATAGGTGGGATTATGTTCGCTTGACAGATTGGGAAACTGAGGCTTAAGTATGTGAAGTGCACAGTTAATAAGTTGCAGAGTTCAAAATGAATCATATCTGATTACCATCCTGTGGCTTACCCCCTCGGAAAAACTGCCTCATCTCTTGACTCCTTGTATATAGGACTCTTTTCACAAATGGAAATAGACGTATTTCTGTTTTTTTAGCAATTGA